TGTGTGTGTGTGTGTGTGTGTGTGTGTGGTTTAAAAGAAAAAAAGAATTAAAAATGGGTCACTTTTTGGCTTCTGACCGACAAATAATACGTCCAAGCCCTCACAGGATTCGACATATTATTTGTTGTTTAAAAGAAAAAAGAAGTGATGACTTACAAATATTACGTCCAACCCCTACAGGATTCGAGTACTATTGATGGTTTAAAAGAAAGAAGAAAAATAATGACACGTTGGTTTAAATAATTACGATCATAGAAGGTCGAATTGTATGAGGTTTTGACGTTCTACAATTGCATTAATTTACAAAAATATCATCGATCATTTTAACTTTAAATATTCAGTGGTTAGACGTTGAACGCATGATGTTATATTGCACTAGTGAATTGGGCCAAAGTTCATGAACAGATTAAACTTATTTAATACTTTATTATTATAGAAAAGGGACATAAAACATTAATCTTTTAAACCACACATGATAAATGAAAGAGACATAAAGGATTAAACCAGGAAGAACGGTAAAGAAAAATAGACATTGGTATTTTTAATACTTTAATTAAATTTAATCTAACTCAATCAAACTCATAGTTTGTTTGAGTTGAACATTAAGTGACAGTTTTTTTTCTTCAAATTTAACCATTTTTTTAATTTATAAACTTTTTCTAATGGTTTTTAAAATTAAAATAACTATTTTAATAAACAAAATAATCTAAGAAAAACATTACCTATATTAAAATTATAATAATAATCATTATTTAGTTTTAAAATTATAATAGTAATAAATTTATTATTTTTTTTATAAAAAAAAGTGAACTTCACATAAATTATGAGCATGTGTTTTCAGTAATGTTTTATGAAAGGGTGTTGCTCCCTCCACCACCTCAAGTGCTCCTGCACTTCTCCATTATTTTCTTTTATTCCAAAAATACTCTACACCTCCCTACTATTTTCTTTTATTCCAAAAATACCCTACACCTCTCAACTATATTCAACAATCTTTTTCTTTCTCTCTCCATATTAATGGAGCATTCACATGGCTCAGATTTAAACTTGTGATATATTGTAAAATTTTATTTACACTTTCCCTTAAATAAGTTTGATTCAATTTTATTTTCACTGTTCAATATATATTTTTTTTCTTCAAATTACTTAATAAATGGTAAAATTTTATTCTAAATTTCTAGAAAAATGTTTATATATATATATATATATATATATGTGTGTGTGTGTGTGTGTGTGTTTTCTTTTATATTTAATATCTATAATTTTTAACATTATATTATGTTTTAACTTACCAACATGTTTGACTCAAATAACTTGAATAAAGTATTTAATTTATTAGATAAATAATATAAAAATATTATTAAATACTTAAAATATAAAAG